CATTCAAAACGAAATCATCTTTATCTTATCTAAGATAAATTTATATATTTTTATCTTATCTTTATCTAGCTAATTTTAAAATCATCTATGCACAACACTGTCCATTGGCAATAGGAGTGCTGTCGAATCCATCGGCTTTTTGAAACCACGTGCCTGTCCCCAGAGTCTCAACTGTGATTGGTCGGGTAGGTCAGGTACAGCGAATAGGGAACAGAAATCTAACACGCGTCGGAAATTCTGCTCCTATTGCCTATTCCATATTCCATTGTGCGCCGATACACGGTTTCTGGTAAGTTGGAACTTAGTTATTTCTGTTGCCTGTGTTTATTCCCTATTCCTATTGCCTGTGCTTTCCCATTGTGCGATAGGCTTGAGACGCGTTATATGCGTACAGTGCCGGTGTATTCATTCGGTTCGTGTCGTCAGAAAGCATCTACGTTTGAATAATCCAGACGCGTGATACGTGCGTACAGTGCCGGTGTATTAGCTCGGTTCGCGTCACCAAGGAAGCATCTATGTTTAAATAATTAATGCCCGGTTTTTCATTTTCTAACTGTTAGCCGGAAGTTAGTCGACTCTCCATCTTTTTCCACGCGATTATCTGAGAAGAGACAGAGAGTCGACTAACCTCTGGCTAACAATTAGCCAGAGAACGAAACACCGGGCCTAAATAATTTTTCTCCGCCCCTAATCGTTTATACCCGAACCGATCAATGAAACCGAATTGACGCACCGCGCTGTGCGTGGCGGTAGTTACGCGTATGCGGCGCACATGTGCATGTGGAATTGCCATTGAATTATATCGCTATTCTTACCAACGCCAATATTTATAACAAACGGAAACGTTTGCACGGGGCTTGCCCGTGAGAACGAGAGAAACGAGAGGATCGCGTGTGTGCGGGCGGGTCCGGATTGCATGAACCTGTGCCATTATCTGTGCGACGGAAACAGAAAACCCGGGGATATTGTCGCGTGCATAGTAGGCAAGCACGAGGAGATAACCGGCGTACATTTTAACGAGAAAGATAACCCCACGCTGGCACATCGGGTTCGGACCGATCCTGTCCGCTCCTACCGGTGTATATACACAGGGTGTCCCTGAATTATCGGCACACATTTTACAGCCAGCAGAGATCGGGTTGACGTGAGACGATATATCGATATCGGATTATATTTCGCAACGATATTAAAGAACCCTTGTTTGTTCTAAATGTGCCTTATTTTAAAAAGAATTTCGAGCTCAAATTGAATCGTAACGAGAAATCTCCAATGTTACTTTTATGTCGGAACTAAAAACAAAATGTACAATAACGTCTCGTAATATTCTTTCAAAAAGAAGATCAACGGCAAACGATTTAACCGAATCGTTGAAACACGCGCCGACGATCTAGAGACGCTAGCGTTAAAATTTGTAACATTCCTTAAAAAGACTTTTCATTTCCGAGCCTCCCTCGGACTGTACGTAACAGTTGTACAAACTTGTTTCCCCTTTCGACCATGTTTTTTTCTTGGCGCCTGTTGTAATTTCGTTCGTGCACTGACGGGGAAAAAATCGGAAACGAGTTAACGTAAAATGGCAGCGGGATGACGGCGCGGGATTCTCAATGTGTCAATCCCCCGCGTGCGCGAGAGAGGAATGGCAGATGTAGGGTTTGAACGGGCGGGACAAAGCGCGCGCGTTATCGGCGCGACGGCGCGGCGCTGAATTTAATAGCGTTTTTCGATGAGCGCGACCGCCGCAAACGCGAGGAGGCAGCCCGAAGAGAAAAAAACAGGAAGAAGATGCAGGCGCGAAGAACAAGGCACACCGACGATCCTGTCGTTACGGAGTACATTGTTTCACGGTCGGCGCGTCGACTAGGGACGTGTTGGAGAACGACACGTTTAA